AGCTGCGGGAGGAGCCGCGGGGCTGGCGGGGCCGCCACGTCCTCACGGTCTCGCTGGACTCTGGCCTCTTCCAGGTCTGACCTCTGACCCCGCAGTCGCCCACTCTGTCTGCCAACCAGTTGAATCCGCCTCTAGTCAGCTCCTCTCCACTCCCTCCCCTGCGCCCGCCCCTCCGGGCCTGCTCCGAGCCCACCCGCACCCCTCCGCCTGGCAGGGGGCTCCCGGATTTCTGGCCCCGTCTTGGGGAGTCAGCGCTTTGCCAGCCTCTGGGAAACCCTTCTAATCGCCGGCCCCTCTCCCAGCTCAAATCGTGGGATTTCGGGGCCTGTTCTGGTCCGCGAGAAAGGGCCTATCTGAGCCCAGCTCTCTTTTAAAAATAAATTTTTATTGATTTCAGAGAGGGGAGAGGTAGAGAGAGAGAGAAACATCAGTGATGAGAGAACCATTGATCGGCTGCCTCCTGCACGCCCCCTACTGGGGATCGAGCCCGCAACCCAGGCATGTGCCCTTGACCGGAATCAAATGGGACCCTTCAGTCCGCAGGCCGACTCTCTATCCACTGGGCACACCAGCCAGGGCTGAGTCCAGTTGAACCCTTCCTGACCCTCCCCCTGCTCCGGCAGGTCCCTCATACTCAGACCATGCCCTGGTACAGAGGAGGAGAGCGTGGTTGTGCAGGGCTAGGGCAAGGCCAAGACGGACTCGGGGGGTAGGGTAGGGGTCCTCTCCCTCCCCAGTGCTGACTGCCCCTCCCCCAGGACACCATGGCGGTGGGGAGTGAGCTGCAGGGCCTGAAAGTGAAGCGACTCCATGTGGGAGGCCTGCCTGCCAGCAGCGAAGAGGAGGCGCCTCCAGGGCTGGTCGGCTGTGTCCAGGTGGGGTCAGCACGGGGTGACCTGGGCCTCGGGGTGAGTGGGGAGAGCAGGGCCTGGGGACCTGAACAGCTGCGTTTACCTGGGCGGGGGGCTGAGCCATAGACAAGTCAAGCCTTTCTGTGCTGCTGGAGGCGAGAGTCCAGCTCCGATGGTCACGGGCCTTAGAGGTCAGTGTCAGGGGCAGCACACTGGGGGCCCCTGGGCTGAATTAGGGACATGGGGTCGGGTCGGGTCGGGAGCTGCATGTCAGGGGTCATCAGGCCAGCTGTGTCCACAGGGGGTGTGGCTCGGCTCCACGCCTATGGGGTCCCCAGCCCTGCACCCCCCCGCGCAGCGAGTGAATGTGGAACCGGGCTGTGTCGTGGACAGCGCCTGTGCGTCTGGGCCGTGCCCGCCCCATGCGGACTGCCGCGACCTCTGGCAGACCTTTTCCTGCACGTGCTGGCCAGGTAGGGCCTGGGCGGGGGCGTGATTTGGGGGCTGCTGAAGACTCGGGGACCCGGAGAGCCTGGAGGGGGAGGGGGAGGCCGAGGACGGCGCCACTCCCTACGTGCCCTGTGGTCAGTGTCCTGAGCTCTCTGACCCGATCTGCAGGTTACTATGGCCCGGGCTGCGTGGACGCCTGCTTCCTGAACCCCTGTCAGAACCAGGGGTCCTGCCGGCATCTCCCAGGAGCCCCCCATGGCTACACCTGTGACTGTGTGGATGGCTATTTCGGGCAGCACTGTGAGCACAGGTAGGGGGCCAGGGGCCGAGATCAGGAAGGACCTGGGGGCGTTAAGAGGGCGCTGAGAGATCGGAGGCATCTCACCTGGCTGTGCACCCCCAGGATGGACCAGCAATGCCCACGAGGCTGGTGGGGAAGCCCGACCTGCGGGCCCTGCAACTGTGACGTTCACAAGGGCTTCGACCCCAACTGCAACAAGACTGATGGGCGGTGCCACTGCAAGGTGTGCCGGGGCCTGATCCCTGACCCCTGGCCTTTGAACTCTCCCCTAGCCGTGATTTGTGATTCTTTTCCAGCTTGCTGACCTCTGCCCCCTGACTCAGGCCCTGACCCTTTACCCGTCCTGTGACCTAAGTGCCGTCCTTTGTCCTTGGCATCTGACCCCTCCCTTAAGTTTCGCTTGAGGCCCGGCTTCCTTCTGGCCTGTGAGCATTGTTCTCTCGACCCTTCGTCCTTGGCTCTTCTTCCCCAAGCAAGCATTGACCTCTGACGTCAGGCCCTGACCCCTTCTCAACCAGGAGTTCTACTACCGCCCCCGGGGCAGTGACGCCTGCCTGCCTTGCGACTGCTACCCTGTGGGCTCCACCTCGCGCTCCTGTGCCCCCCACAGCGGGCAGTGCCCCTG